CTTCTTTGTTGATTTTTGCAAGCAGAATGACAGGTTTTAAAGAAAAGCACATTGCTATTTTGTCCCTATTTGTGGTGAAAGAGCTTGTGCATTCCATTATCTATGCCACCAAGTTCATAAAATGTAACCTATCAGCTACAAATAGCAGAATACACCATATCCTCCACTATTCCCCATTTCTACCAGATAAGCAATCTACAGAGCAAGACAGAGGAGCAAATGTAGGCTCATTATTCTTCAGGAGAGTAGTTCTCAATTTTGTACTGTATGTGTTCAGGATCTCCGTACTCTTGTGCTTATCACACAGTTGCTAGCACTGATTAAATTACGCAGTTTACAGAAGGATGCATGCAACATTACAAAAAGATGGTAATAACATTTTTAATTTATCTGTAAGGACAACTTTAACGCAATAATAATTCTGTAGTTCATTTATCTAAATGGGGACCTTATCACATGAGTGATGAGAAGTCAGAATACTGAGAGTGGATAGATCTTAACTCACATGATGGATGGGCAATTCCACACAGTATGACAGCCCCTTGTCTCAGGTCTCTGCTCAGTAACAGAGAAAAATGTTTCTGGAGTGAACGTTGATCACAGTAGAAAGAGAGAATTTCTTCTAGCTTATTATGCTCTCTTCTCTCTGGCAAAAGCCATTTATAACACCAGAGACACACAAGACCTCCTGGAGATATAAAACATGTTATTTAAGGGGTTACACTAAAATATTACACAATTAATCAATCTCTATTTAAAGATGAGACGCATAACACCTAAAAAGTCCACCACATATTGAGTGGAAACTTATATAAGGCTTCCAAGATGCAAAACCTTTCAGTTTTAAATTTTATAGCCCTCATATTTGTAGAAAGAAATACTGAAAATATCATTGTGCTATATTAATTTATACTGCACCCATCTGGTTGGGAATCAATGGCATCTATGTTTCAGGAATAGCCAGTGTCTACTAATTCAAACCTCCTGCCAACCTAGCAGTTCGAAGGCACATCAAAGTGCAAGTAGATAAATAGGTACCGCTCTGGTGGGAAGGTAAACAGTGTTTCCGTGCGCTGCTCTGGTTCGCCAGATCCGGAATGACCCGGAAGCTGTACGCCGGCTCCCTCGGCCAATAAAGCAAGATGAGTGCCGCAACCCCAGAGTCGGTCACGACTGGACCTAATGGTCAGGGGTCCCTTTACGTTTACCTTTACTAATTCAAACAGCTAGAGAAAAATATTGCAGGGGGAAATGGTCCCACTGGAACTGGTCAAGAATAGATTCTGCATATGAATATGTATGAACAAGTGCTTGAGGATTTATCTGGAATCAGATAAAATGCTTGAGGGAATCAGTTTACAGTTTCTCCTATTACCTTGGGGCAAGAATTGCAAGCCCATGCAAAACAGAAAAAAAGTATTCAAGTGGCTTATAGCACAGCTGTAATTTCCCTTCTTTGGTTTACCTGAGTAGGAGTCTAAAGGCATTGAGCCACAGCATTTGGAATTCATATTGAATTCCTCAACAAGGTTTGGACTTTATGAATACAGCAGAGGCACCTTATTCTAATGTCACATTTCAGGTAAAATGGATGTCTTGTTAGGAACAAGGAAAAGAAAACATGGTTGAAAATAGTAAGATAATCTTCTGTTCAAGGGGTGTGGGGGACAGAGGAAACTTTGTTTTGTTCATACCTTATTAAAAATCAATAAAAATTCTTTATATATAAAAAAGAAAATGGTGAACTAGTACCTAGCCTAGCCTTTGCCAAGCTGGTGCTGTTCAGAGGCTTTGGTCTACAACTCAATTGTAAAAAATGGCAGACATTACAACACAAAATGAAATTGAAAACCCCAGTAGCCTTCAACTCTCCAGCACCATCTCTTCATTAGGAAACAGGCACTGTGGAGTTACTCTGGAATTTTTCTACTTCTTGAAAAGTGGGGAATTTGAAATTAAATTTAACCATCAGTGTTAAATGCTTTTGTTTATTTAATCAATATGTGTGCTGCCTTTCAGTTGAGGCAAGGCAACAAAACAATGTAAAAATAAAACAGTAGATAGAAAATTAGCAGCAACAAAACCTCTCAAATTAAAAGGCTGGGAAAATAAAGCTAGGCTTCTAACCATTACTGCCCTCAATAAATCCTGCTGATTCCAAATTATTTATTTGTTGTACATTTCCACTTGTTTGATGTTCTCTTCTGCCTTGGTCAAACTCCATCTGAGGTACCACGCCCCATTCTGGGCACCACAATTTAAGAAGGGTATTGATAAGCTGGAATGTGTGCAGAGGGGAGCAACAAAGATGATAAAGGGTGTGGAGACCAAGCCTTATGAAGGATGGTTGAGGGAATTGGGTATGTTTAGCCAGGAACAGAGGTGACTGAGAGGTGAGAGGAGATGATAGCCACCTTCAAATATCTGAAGGGCTTTAATATGGGAGATAAAGCATGCTTGTTTTCTCCTGCTCCAGAGGGTAGTACCTGAACCAGTGAGCTCAATTTCCAAGGAAGGAGATTCCAACTAAGCATTAGGAAGAACTTTCTGACAGTAAGAGCTGTTCAACAGTGGAATAGACTACCTCAGAAGATGGTGGACTCTCCTTCATTGGAGGTTTTAAAGCAGAGGTTGGCATGGCCATTTGTCATGGATGCTTTGTGATTCCTGCATTGCAGGGGGTTGGAGTAGTTGACAATTGGGCTCCCTTTTATCTTTACAATTCTTCGATTTTGTGAGGTGCAATGAGAATCTTAGGTAACTGAGAAATTTAAGCTGTATAAATGTATATAGAAATGCAAGCTAAGTGTTTTTAACAGGGCTGCTTTTGAAAGGAACTCTGAATTGTAGCTCAGTATGAGCTTTCACCTATTTCTAAATGCAGTGATCTTAAGTGGTACTAATGATGTCCAAACCTTTTTCAAAGAGGGCCAGATTTGATAAAGTGAAGGGCTGTAAGGATTTTACCCCAGGAAATAAACTGCCACAGGGGCCGGATTATACGGACTGGCAGGCCAGATTAGGCCCCCCAAACGGACTTTGGACATGCCTGCCCTATACTGTTGTTGTTTAGTCGTTTAGTCGTGTCCAACTCTTCGTGACCCCATGGACCAGAGCACGCCGGGCACTTCTGTCTTCCACTGCCTCCCGCAGTTTGGTCAAACTCCTGCTGGTAGCTTTGAGAACACTATCCAACCATCTCGTCCTCTGTCGTCCCCTTCTCCTTGTGCCCTCCATCTTTTCCAGCATCAGGGTCTTTTACAGGGAGTCTTCTCATGAGGTGGCCAAAGTATTGGAGCCTCAGCTTCACGATCTGTCCTTCCAGTGAGCACTCAGGGCTGATTTCCTTAAGAATGGAGAGGTTTGATCTTCTTGCAGTCCATGGGACTCTCAAGAGTCTCCTCCAGCACCATAATTCAAAAGCATCAATTCTTCGGCGATCAGCCTTCTTTATGGTCCAGCTCTCACTTCCATACATCACTACTGGGAAAACCATAGCTTTTACTATACGGACCTTTGTTGGCAAGGTGATGTCTCTACTTTTTAAGATGCTGTCTAGGTTTGTCATTGCTTTTCTCCCAGGAAGCAGGCGTCTTTTAATTTCGTGGCTGCTGTCTCCATCTGCAGTGATTATGGAGCCCAAGAAAGTAAAATCTCTCACTGCCTACATTTCTTCCCCTTCTATTTGCCAGGAGGTGATGGGCCCAGTGGCCATGATCTTTGTTTTTTTGATGTTGAGCTTCAGACCATATTTTGCGCTCTCCTCTTTCACCCTCATTAAAAGGTTCTTTAATTCCTCTTCACTTTCTGCCATCAAGGTTGTATCATCTGCATATCTGAGGTTGTTGATATTTCTTCCAGCGATCTTAATTCTGGCTTGGGATTCATCCAGCCCAGCCTTTCGCATGATGAATTCTGCATATAAGTTAAATAAGCAGGGAGACAATATACAGCCTTGCCGTACGCCTTTCCCAATTTTGAACCAATCAGTTGTTCCATATCCAGTTCTAACTGTAGCTTCTTGTCCCACATAGAGATTTCTCAGGAGACAGATGAGGTGATCAGGCACTCCTATTTCTTTAAGAACTTGCCATAGTTTGCTGTGGTCGACACAGTCAAAGTCAATGAAGCAGAAGTAGATGTCTTTCTGGAACTCTCTAGCTTTCTCCATAATCCAGCGCATGTTTGCAATTTGGTCTCTGGTTCCTCTGCCCCTTCGAAATCCAGCTTGCACTTCTGGGAGTTCTCGGTCCACATACTGCTTAAGCCTGCCTTGTAGAATTTTAAGCATAATCTTGCTAGCGTGTGAAATGAGTGCAATTGTGTGGTAGTTGGAGCATTCTTTGACACTGCCCTTCTTGGGGATTGGGATGTAGACTGATCTTCTCCAATCCTTTGGCCACTGCTGAGTTTTCCAAATTTGCTGGCATATTGAGTGTAGCACCTTAACAGCATCATCTTTTAAAATTTTAAATAGTTCAGCTGGAATATCATCACTTCCACTGGCCTTGTTATTAGCAGTGCTTTCTAAGGCCCATTTGACTTCACTCTTCAGGATATCTGGCTCAAGGTCAGCAACCACACTACCTGGGGTATACGAGACATCCATTTCTTTCTGGTATCGTTCCTCAGTAGTAAAGCCTCTACTATACTACTGTACTATACACTCTACTATACTAAAGTGATGCCTGTTCCTTAAGAGAAAGTCCAGTTGAGTTGAATGGGACTCACTTCCAAGTAAGACCACAGCTAGGTTAGTCTATATGGCCATTTACTCCTGGTTTGTGCAGGTTTCACGGTGAAATAACGCTACAATAAACACATCAACCATACAGTACTTACACATCCATATGACCATACTAATTTTTGTCTCGCCTAGTAAATGAATACCCTTAGCAAAATTGACACAGAGTGTTCCGTAAGTGCCAGAAGAAGCAACAGTACTAACCTGCTTTCCAAACCTGTACGAAGCTTTTTCGCGTTAGGATTTGTAGTAATTCCCCACCCCGGAAAATAATCGTTTATTTCTGTGGCCACCAGGAGGCGTAGCCCAGCCTCCTAATCGCGTCTCAACTTCGTATCTGTTATCAAAGCGGTGGCGGGAGGAGGAAGAGGAGGATTGCTTCTAGTTTACACCACCTATTTGCTTGACTCGTGCTTGGCTGCTGCTTTTGTAGTATTAAGTTAAGCACTTCCACATTGATTGAAATTAATAATATTTTTAAAACAGCAACAGCACTGAGGCAATTTGTTTCCTGATCGCATAAAATTGGGGGTGGGTTAAACAAACGGCAAAACTAAATCTGCTAATAATAATTCTTCTGTTTTGATCGGTTATTTACATTGTTTTTACCCTTCCTTGGGAGCGAGCCCCACTGAACATGAAGGGATTTACATGTGCGTAATCACTGCACTGCAATGCAGAAGACAGACTGAAGTCAACAGGAGACAAGCCCCATCCTTGCAAGGCAGGATTGGCCACTGAACTGGATTGAAACTTTTTGCCCCCATGCTGACCACTCAAGTGTGGGGCATTCCGGGGGGGGGGGGAAGCTTGAAAGAACTCTATGGCCAGTGGGACACTCTGGGAATCCCACGTGGAACTCAGTGGTTCTTGAGGGCTCTGCTTCTAGAGCGGGCCTACTAATCCAGCTGAAGCAGCTGAAAGTTAATAGTGTTGTCAGGTGAGGCAAAGTGTATTATTAAGCAGGGCTCTTAGGTCTGCAAATGAAGAAAGTTTGTGGTGAGCACCCTGTATGTGTTCTACATTTGCAAGTAAGGAATATAAACAGCGGGAGGTAAGTTAAAAATGAATTTCTAAAATGTTCCAAACTAAATGTTAACAGGAGTTCTTAATTCTGGGCTATTTAGAGCTAAGCGTTGCGGAGCCTGCGCTTGCTGGTATTAATGGTTTTTATTCAGCCACATGTAATGGAAGATGCCTTTCCCTTCTATAATGCTTGTATGTCTGACCGAATTAGCTGATGTCTAGTTTCCATTCAAGGCTATTTCTTCTGTTAGGCTTCTTCTCTTCTTTTGTTCTTGAGGGAGGACCAGACTTGGTTTTTGGAAGGAAAGAGTGAGGTGTGCAACAAAATGTTGCTGCATGAAGTTGCTTCTTCAGTGTTCCTGCCCATGGCCTTTTCCAGGGCATTCAACGCGCCACCTTCCACACTGGTTTTTCCTGCCCTCCATGACTGTGGTCGCTGAGCGTTTTCAGTCCTCATTTGGCTGTTTAGAGCTGGGTTTTCCCACTCCTCTGCCCCTCCCCTCCATTTTTTATATATTTGTATAAACCTCAGAGTTCCCCATAGTATGCTGATGCCTCCCTCTTGTTTTTGTTTTTTTGGGGTGGAGTGGGGTATTTAGGCTACATAAGGTTAGGCACATGAAGAATTAGTATATTAGTATTATTGTAATAGAAAAGCCATGGTCAAGAATCACAATGGTGGAATTTGGCTTATCTCTCGGTTTGGGAGATTCGTGAGGCTATCAAACACAATAACCAAAGACATTCTTTAGAAACCTCCTATATTTCATGCCCACTTTGGAGACAAAACTATGTAAGTTATTTAATGATTGGGGCCATATTCTGCTTTAAGTTGAGATACAACTTTCTCTGTATGCGTGTGTTTTCATATATACTTTCAGATCCTTTAGCAATGTAAAACAGAGGTATTTGATTTTGCCAGTGTGGGAATATGTGATATATGTTTGCATTTATAATTTCAATAGTAAAAACAATTAGCTAAGTAAGCTATTTCAACTAGAGAGTGGAAAATTAGTTGCACTGTCACATTAAAATAAGCTAGGCACCTGGATTGTTAAAGAGGTCAAGAAGCAGGCTTGTTATCTGTTTGTGGGACCTGAAAACTCCATCCTCCCTTAGGCTGCTATCTGATGCCCACTTATCCTGAAAAGTCATAGGCTATGATTTGGGAGCTTTGCTAATTGCAGTTAGGGACCAACAATGCAATCCTATTCATGTCTACTCAAAAGTAAGTCCTGCTGAATTCAGTGGGCTTTACTGCCAGGTAAATGTCATCCTTGGCACCCTATAGTTAAGCACTGTTTGGAAGAAGGAACCAGCTGAAGACAGGATATCTCCACCCAGGAACATCTGCACGTGTCTCTACCGGTCCATTTTACCAAGCTAGCTCCTAATAAATCTGATTGAGTTCCATTTTGCAAAAAAGGTTGCACAATTGGTTACAAAGTCTCCCCCCTCCTCCCCATGATAGGAAGGTTTATTTTTAACTAAAATCACTTCTGGATTTATTGTTTGGAATGAGTACCAGCAGGAGCCATTTGATGTAAAAAAGACATTTGAGATTAAGCTACATGAAACGTCCGTTGAACTACATTTTTAAAGGAATGTTTCATCAGTGTTAGAGACTTATCTTTTGTACACTACCTGACGACTTGGTAGATAGTGTTTCATGACTAAATTTCTTTTGGAAATGCTGGGAAAGTACAGCATTTAATCTTGCACAAGTTTGGTTCCAGAATATACTGTCGCTGGAATAAATGCAAATATGATTAACTTCATACCTCCTGTTTGAGACAGATGTAAAGCATTACAGTCTTATATATAACACCAGAAGAAGATTTAATCAATAAAATATTTGTTTGATAAATCATATATGCAAATGCTCAGATTATATTAAGGTGCTGAAAAGCTGACCAAAGTATTTGTTAGACTTTTGAGAACTTTGTTCTTGAAAGAGACAAATACTGAAAATATTATTTCACTCTCGAAGTCAGGGATGGAAAACCTGTGGTCCTTCAAATGTTAGCAACAACTCTCACCTCTTTCTATTGGTTATGCTTGCGGGGACTGATAGGAATTGGAATTAAACAACATCTGGAGGGCCATAGGTTCTCTATCCCTGGTCTAAGCAATGTTTTATTTGCTGTTGTGATTATCTTCTGAGTTTCATGGAGCTAGATTGTTCTAAAAGGTTTCTGTAATAATAAGAACTGTTGTTTTCAAAGGCAAAAATGACATATCAATACTTTAAATAATACTGACTTTTAAGTGATGTTAGACACCAGAAAATAATACTTTAGCTGTGTGTCTTTGCAGTGTAATATCTCTATTAGCTCTAAAATACAGCAACCAAGGATGTTTCAGGCCTCTTACCAGAAGAGGTAGCATACAAGTTGGATTAATTAGAAGAAAATTATATCTGGAATTACCAGACTGCTCTTCTGTCACTGGCACTAGCCTTTCAGGTAGATGCCATGGCAGGGAAGCTGTATGTGGGCTCCTTGGAAGAGGAAAGCCATAATTACACTGAAAATGTGAATTCTGCTTTTTAATTTCAGGAGGGGAATCAAATTTCAAGGAAAGCTGGAACACAGAATAAGCTACCAATGTTCAAGGCCAGGTATGACTTCCTGCTTATCCTCCAGTTTATGACTTTGACATGGATCAGATACATTCACTCAGAGCTGATCACCTTTTGGGTTGGTTCTTTTTGCCAGAGTTATCTAGATCCATTACTCTGTAAATAGCACTTGCAGCTAGAGTTGGCAGCTTTTTTCTGGAAGGACACATGTGCTTCTAATAGCTACTCAACAGACAGGTATTTAGCCAGCGGATCTTTCATAAAATGTTATGTGCTACATTTTCATCCAGAGAACGACCAAAGCAGAAAACAGGAGAGAAAGAACTGGAAAACATTGACAAAGTAAAATCCACATTAATTAAACTACAACAGCAACCACCAAAGAACAATTAGTAGTGGTTCCTTGGCAGAAGTCAGCCAGATAGCTATGCTGAAATATGCAACACACAGGAGGTGACCTTGGCCTAGCCAATCTCTTGGTCTTACCAATGAGATTGTCTTATGTTACAGGAATGTTTCTAAGGATTTGTGAGATAAAGTACGTGCGTCTTTTTGAATGCTCTAAAAGTTCTATAAAAGCGTGAATGTTTTTTTAAAAAAATGATTGACACCTTAAAGGAATGTAGCCAGCCTACAAACTTGATATCTGGGAAATGCCTTGATTGTGTTGTGGCTGCTCTGAGTATAGCACATTGTGGATAAGTGGAAAGGTTGGAAGGTAGTGTTGCCTTTAGAACTAGGTGAGCCTTTAGTTTGGATGCCAGAGGTCTGAATGTGGGCCGCTGTTGATAGGGAAGTTGAGGTAGTCAGCCTTGGGTTGCAGTTTTTAGAACATAGTTATTGTATTTTATGGCCTTTGGGCCCTCCTGCTTTCTTTGTACTTGAATGTATGTGTTATATGTTTTCCAGCTGAGGATAGCACTTCATAAATCTGAAGATTTATGATATTATGAATGTTTCACATGGGGATGTGCTGTATCTGTTCAGAAGTAAGCCCCTTTGAGATCAGCGGGACTTACCTCCAGGCACATTTTTGTGTAGGATTGTATCTATAGCCTTTAGATGCTACAGGACTCTTTTTATATATGTATGTCTGCCATAACAGACAAACCTGGCTACCATCTACCTCTCTCTAGAATTGGTTTATTATTATATTTTACTATGGTGGACACTTTTGGGATTTCCTGCCTCCTCCAGCAAAATCTCTTGAGCCATCTCTGGTGTTGAGCCAGGAATTGGTGGTACTGTTATCAAGTACCTTCCTAATTTATCATCACCATCTATTTATTTGTCTGCTACTTTCCCACAGAATTGTGTCGAAACTGGCTTGCAACCTACAAAATGAAATATTAAAAATATATTGCAAAGAATTGCAAATTTCCATAGTATCAACCAAAAAATCCAAAGAACCCCAAATCCACAAAACATAGTATAAAACAATACAAATGATCTAATCTAACTTAACAGCTTAAAACTAAACTAAAAATTTCTTCAACTTGATTCCAGCCTTGTATGTTGTTGTTTTTTTTGAAGAGCAGAAATGGTTAAGAAAAAGTGGAATTCCTCACCTCCGATTCCATTTCTTTCAAGAATTCACTGTACATTTATCCAAACCTTGCTGTGTAATGAGTTATTGATTTCAACCATTTGGCCACTCTGTTATATGTACATACACACATGAACTCAACTAAAGAACCCATTCAGTGAGTGGGGGCAAGTTCAGAGTAATTACACAGCTGTTCTTTAATGCTGAAAATTATCTCTATTGTGTCTGGGCTCTTAATGGCTGCAAAAGTAACAAATGTGAATAGCTTTAAGGAAAGCGACATGATGAACAACTTCCATTTTGGAGAGAACAGCACACGTAATATAAACACCAGCTAAAATTCAGCACTAAAGGGGAGGATAGCACAAAGGCCGAAGTGCAATCAGTGCTGCTGTGAGTACCCGCCTTCCAGCAGCTCAATCAGCACTTTGATATTGCAGCATCCTTTTCTGAGCCCTGCAAAAACCAGAAGGAATAGCAAATTGGCTTCAGCTTAAGGTGATGCGTGGGCTAAAAGCACACACATATTTTTTTAAAAAAACGCTTAGCATATATTGTACACTTAAGAACAACAACACATAATGCTTGAGCGCCGCAACCCCAGAGTCGTCCATGACTGGAATTAACAGTAAGGGGTCCCTTTACCTTTTAAAATAGAAAATGGCCAAGGGCTAATCTGCTGTTCTTGCTGAGAGCTACCAATTTTTATTTTTATTTTACTGAAAGCAGGGTATGTGTGTGTGCTAAAAGTATGTACCCTAAGCTTATCTGCATTGTAAAATGATGGTTCATATTTGTCATATGTTAGTTGCTTTGCAAATTTCCATCTGAAAGTGGACTAGGCCACAGCAGAATGTAAGCAGGCTTCTATCTTCTTCACTTCCTTGCAAAGCTGTGCTTTCAACAGCTACCTTACATGTAGAAGTTTAGCAGGTAATGCTTTCCTGGCACTCAGATGTAGTGATTAGAAGATAATCACAGGAGCATGACAAGGGAGAGTTGGTAGGCTTGCAGTGCCACCCTATATGTGTCTATTCAGAAGTAAATACCATGGAGTTTAAGGGGACTACTCCCAGGTAAGTGTGTATGCTAAAGATTGCAGCCTTAGCCTATAATACTTAACAAATTCACCAAACATTAAGTCATGTTGAACTCAGTAGGACTCAGTTTCTTGGTAAATGTTCCTCAAAATGCATAAAAGAAAAAAAGACAACAGACATGAATTCATCTTCTAAAGGTAGAGCTTTGCTGAAGTTCCTATTTCTATTTTTCTTTCTTATTCCACTTACAAAAGCTGGAGACCAGGGCAACATTTTAAAGTTAAATAAGCCAGCAAGAGTTGTTAGTGCATTTACCATCACACAGATCTCCTCCCCCATCCCTTATTACATACACAAGATGATATACACTGTGTAATGGTAATATTTTCCTGGGAAAACAAGTTCATAGGAAAATAATACAGCTCTTCTCAAACATTTACTCAGATGACCTGCAGCAAAGCGATATGGGGAAAGAATTTTAAGTAGCACCTGTAGTCAACAGTATATTTAAATGCTTTTTTCCTCCCAGAGATGAATGGATCCTCACTGGTGAAAGAGAGAGGCCAATCCTATGCAAATATTTGATATATATTTTTTCTCAGCATGGAGCCATCAACTGCATTTTAGGTGTCAGGAATTTTAAGAACTAGCAATGAGCAGGGGAGAGTAAAGCCACCTGCTTACAGAAAAATGCTAAACATGTTTTAGGCAGCTCTATAGAATTATCTATGGTGTTGGGGCCCATCTTAGCCATTAAGATGGTTGTACACATTTCAAATCAACCTATGTAAATTATGCAGGAGCAGTCACAACGATAATGTTTGTTGTTGTTGCTGTTGCAATTTGGACACCTCTTTAAGTGCTGTTTGCAATATAATTTGCAGTCTTTTTTTTTTTTAGCAAGTATCTAAAAGTTAAGCATTTTCTTCACTTCTTTGTTGGAAGTGAGTTCCAAAAATTTTATTTTCATTGTAATCAACACTGTGGTTTCTAAAGGGTATGGCACCCAGGGCAGCGTCCCAGAAGATCACCCAAACACTTGGAGATGTCTATTTGGAATAAAAATAATAGTGTGTTTTTTTAAAAAAAACTTTTTAGTGATTTTCCATTTTTATGGTAACAACAATAAACAAACAACAGTAAACATGAAAAAACTGCAAAGTAACCACAGTGGCATTTGTCAAAATTTCATTCCTGAGATTAATTTAGTAGATTCCCTTGTGTCAAAGGGTTCTGAACATTGCTCTTTTGTTGTATGAAATCAATGAACGGTTGCCAAGTATAGTATTAAAGGGGTTTGAATTCCACTAAAATCAGCACCTAATTGTACTACACCTCCTTGAAAAGACATCAGTGTTTGAAATGTGCTTTTTAGGAAGGGGACTTGCCTTTCACTGGGCAGTAAACAGAAGCTATAGTTAGGGTAGTAGAGTTAAGCTCTCCTTTGGCATCTTGGGGAGCAAAGTTCAACAAGTGCGAAATAAGGATTACAACCCCCTTACTTTGGAAGATCCTGCAGAGCTGTACATCATAACCTCATAAACACAGAACCTTATCAATGGATTTTTTTACTACGCATGTTTTCAAACATATAAAACCAGTTTTTCTTCTTTTTGGAGCAAAGACTCCATTCTATGGTGCTTGACAGGGTTGCCCATGCCATATACCAGTACATTGAAATGCCCTTTTAAATGTGTCCTTCAGGATTCCATATGGTAGGATCTGTTAACGAGTGACATCATGCTAATGCGAGGTCCTCCTGTCATTCTGCTCCTTGAAAGGCAGACCTTGGGAGAGAGGATTTGAAACTGGATAATAGGCATAGTAATGCGGTTAATCAACTAACTTACTTTAACAAACATTTGAACACTTAACAGTGAAACAAAGGAACCAGGTTGCACCACAAATGGTGGAGGGAGTAGGGTTCTTCTCTCCCCCTTGGGCCACTCTTACTGGCAACCAACAACTGGAGGGGTATCAGTAAACCAACCATAATGAATGAATAGACCCTCTCCAAGTAGCGTCCAATTACAAGGCTGCATATTGATCACTCATAGAGTAATTTCCAGTTTTACGAAAGTATAGGGAGCTGTCAATATAAACTAGGCTGATTTTAAAGCTCTTTGCAGGATCAGGTCTTGTATTGGATCTCTCACGTGTGGTTTCTGCTGGCTCCAGCAATGTGGTGCATTTCTGTTCTCTGGAAACAGTGTTTTTGCAATGCTTTAGAGGATCCTCGCTTTTCCTGCCATCATAAATCAGCTTCATCTTCTGATGAATCATCTGCATTTCCCGCTTTGTCAGTTTCATGCAAGCCTAGTAGATGCATGATGTTGAGAACCTCTGCATGCATGAAGGCTCTATGCTGTATACCGTCAATTATAACAATATTGGAAGGGATACCCTCATCTGTATTTAGCCCCTGCCTTTGAAAGCTTCCCAGTATATATTTTGAATGCTTTTATCCACTTTAAAGTTGCAGGGCACAAATAATGTGAAATTATTATGCGATTTCTCTCCCATTCCAAACTGTCAACTTCTTGTTGCACTTTCAAAATGGCCTCTTTTGTCACCAGGCCACTATGTTGTTTGATTGCAAGCGTTGGCTGCTCCTGAGTGCCACTTCAATAATTAGTAGGATTCATATTTGGTAGTACAAGATCAGATCGTGAAATTATAAAGGTTAGTAAATCTGCTTCCAGGGATTCAGTCATATTGCGTACTTTGAGGTTAAAGCAGCACAGATTATTGTCCTCTTCTTCACATTGGGACTTGGCTATCTCTTGTGTAAGAGGTGAGCTTTTTGA